AAAAAAAAAAAAAAAGAACTTCCCTATGACCAGTCATACCACTCTTGGGAATCTCCTAAGACCTTTATATGCCAGGATACCATAAAGACCCTTGCATAGCAATGTTCACAGCTACACTATTGACAACAGTCAAGTTATGGAAACAGACTAGATACCCTAAAATGGATGAGTGGATCATAAAAATGTAGTACATATATACAATAGAATTTTACCCATTCATTGAAAAGAATAATATGTCATTTGCAGGAAAATGGATGGACCTAGAAAAAAAATCATGTTAAAAGAAATTAGCCAAGCTCAGAGAGACATTTTTTTCTCTTATATGTGGAAGCTAGATCTAAAATAAAACTAGGCATAACAATATATACAAGCATAGTGCAGTTACACACAAGCCAACTAACGAAAAGATGGTGTATTTGGGGGAAGACTCCAAAGGTGTAACTCCTCTGGACACCTAATGTACTGTTTATCAAAATGAACACGAGGCAGTAGAACATGTTTTGGGGAGTAAGCAAGGGGAGGAGCACAGGAGTGGAGCGGGGAAGGGTGAGCAAATGTAGTCATGGAGCCATTATATTCCGTGGTCATTATGTAAAAGCTGAACTATGCAACTTGAGGGTAAGGGGGGGATGGGGGAGAACAAAGGAAGAGAGACATTGCCCAGGAAGCATTGTAATAATGTGACGGATGGACTTGCAACCCCTTTGTATAATTACTTTATATGACCAGCTAAAAGCTGGGCAAGAGGAATGGCTCAATAGAACACCATGGTGAGCCAAGCAAGCTGAACAAATATGAGGTCCTGAGTTCAAATCCCAGTGCCACCAAACTGGGAAGGAAATGGAGCCATTTATCACAAATGAATCATAGAGCACGGTAGGTATAAAAATACCTAGTGATTGGCATGTTACCAAATTTCCACAAAACAAATTTCTATGTAATTTCAGGTTGATTTCTGTTCCTCATAGATTAAAAAAAAAATCTGGTCAGGATTAGTGTTGGGAGCCACTTTTCCTGAGGAAAGGAGAAGCAGGGTCCTGGAGCCTTTCTAAAACCAGTTGCTCAGTAAAGATGCCATTTCTAGCATCACTGCCCACTCTGCTCACGTCTGTCCACTGGACCCTTCCCGTGGTGCACTGCAAGGACTCTGGTTTTACTGTGCATGAAATCGGAGTCACTGGAAGTTCAAGATTGGCCCTTTGATGAGATCAGGATGGGGAAGGACCAAGGCCAGGCAGATATGTTAGGAGTCCAGTGGTTGGCGAGCCCTTTCTCTCCATGTGATCTCATTGGCTGCCACTGGCTGCATAGCCCCAGGCCCCCTGCTCTCTTGCAGTCTTGAGCCACTTGAGGCATGTACCTACTTCAGGCCCTCTGGGACAGCCCCCTCCAGATAGCCACATACCTTCCAACCTTGCCTTCACATGTTTGTGTGACCTCACCTTCTACAAGGCCTTCCCTGCCTGCATGGCTGAGAACTGCCTCCTCCCCCAGCCCGCCCTGCCTACCTCCCTGCCTTTATTTCTCTTTCGTGCCTATGGCTGCCATCGGACCTACAGGTATCAATCTGATCGTGCTGTTTCCCCATCTGCCCTCCTGTCCTCTCCTGCTTCACCTGACAGCTCCGCCAGACCTCATGCAGGCTGGCAAGCCTGTCTGAAACGGGCACTGTCTCGGCCCTGCTGTTCCCTGGCAGTTGAGGATGCCTCAAAGAGGCAGGCACCTTGTCCCCTTTGTCTGCATTCGTACTGGGCCTGCTGCAGGTTAGTCTCCATGTCACAGGCCCTTCCAGGGAGCTCGGCACACATAACCTCCGATATCCACTGTCTGTGCTGACCAGCTCTGAAGATGGATCACTTGTTGGATTTTTCAGGAACGCCTCCACACCGAAGTCCCACACTCAGGACATCTGTATGGACTTGGGCTGCACCCCGGAGCCTCTTGGCAAGCAGCTAGAATGTTGAGTCCTCCAGTCCTGTCACTGCAGGCTCAGTACCCTTCCTGCTCCTGCTGGGCCCTCCAAAGGCACTGCCTCAAGCCTGTTGGCTTTCTCCTGAGCCCTTGTGATGCCAGTGTCCCTCCCGCTTCACCACTCTTTGAGAAGGGCAAACGTGGTACCTATTTTTATTCTAATTACTCATTCTGTCCTACCTCATTAAGCATGCATCTTTCAAGCCTGAATACCTGGTGGAAGCTGCATAACCTCTAATTATCCTTTTACCCATGTTCACACACAAATGGCGGCCACTTATAGCTCCCTACCAGGCCCCCTCTGTAAATAACATAAAGTTTATTTTCTCAAAGTAGAAAAGCATGTGGTAGCTTGCTGTACCTGTGGTTTTTTTTTTTTTTTTTTTAGTTTTGCTGGATTACAAGTTTCTTACGCTGAAAGTGTTGTATACCCAGGGCTGGGAGTGTTCTCAGTGGTGGAGCACTTGCCTAGCGTGCATGAGGCCTGGTGTTCAGTCCCTTGCACCTGTGCCAAATCTGTGGTACAGAGTTCTTAGTTGCGAGAGGGTTACTGTGAAAACTAGGATCTCCTAACTTTGCTACTATGTGTCTCATGTCCCTGCCCAGACTCACTTTAGAAATACTGTCCCTGGAGCTAGTGCTGGTGGCTCACTTCTTTAATCCAGGCCACTGAGGACTATAATCCAAGCCACTGAGGAGGCTGAGATCTGAGGATCCAGATTCAAAGTGAGCACAGCCAGGAAAATCTGGGAGACTCACTTATCTCCAATTAACCATCAAAAAGCTGGAGGTGGAGCTGTGGCTCAAGTAGAAGAACACCAGCCTTGGGTGGGGAGACTTAACAGACAGCACCTGGGTCCTGAGTTCAAGCCCCAGGACTGGCACTAAACCAAATCAAACCAAATAATGCTGTCACTGGAACTGGGAAGCTGAGGTTCTCTCCATAGCTACTCCCCATCGTCAGCATGGTAGAAAGCCAGACTGGAATGGAAAAGAGAGTTTTGATCCATTTTAAATTATTCCATGCTTGTCTTCAGAGCCAAAGTTCAGATAAGAAAATTAATCAATTATACTTTTGTTTCTACTCTGAAACTCATGACTGCTTGCTGAAAGGCAGCTTGTGCTCATAGTAAAACATTGTTTACAGAGTCCCAGATGAACAGCACAGCCTTTGGGATTTGGGACCAGGATGGTACATTTATTCCCTGGGGAAAGAACTAACAGTTTGAGATGGGCTGGGGAGGAGGGGTGCAGGGAAGAGGGGGAAGAACTTGATTTTCTAAGATTTTGAACACACAAGGCTAGTAATATTCAGTGGCTGAAATAAACATTGCTAGTCCTATTCCATGGCTAAAATAATTATGTTTATTTCTGGAACTTTTTCTAGGGGAAAAAAAAATCTTGCTGCCTGGGGAGTTGGTTTTGAAATGCAAACTCAAGAGTCCAGAGAGATTGGGAAGTGTGGTATTTTCTCCTTAAAGCATAGCCCTAGGCTTCTTTCATTTGCCCTGTTATCTCCTCTTTTAATGGGGTTTCTGGGCATTTGGTAGACCCAGCCTCTCCACAGGGCAAGCAGCCTGGCAGGGGCACAAACTCTTGCTGAGTCTGTGTGCCAGGGGAGCGAGAAGGGGAGCCTTAGTCAGATCTGGACCTGGACCGTTCTCTCTAAAGCTTAGTAACACACTGTAACTGGAAGGAAACATTCCTGTCCTTGGGACATGGGGGCAGAGTGACACAGAAGTGTCCTTCAAGTCCAGTTTCTTCAGGCAGGAGTCACAAAGCAGAGTTTACTTGCTAGAAAATTCCACTTAGTCACTCCAAAAAAAACAAAATAAAAATTCCCAAAGAGTATGCTTTTGAGCAAGAGATTTGCAGTAGCAAGACAAAGGCTGGTTAAGCAGTGACGCAGCTAACCGACGACAATGCCGGGCTGTGATGGAGGACATTGCTTCACAGCAACTGTAGTCTACACAGTCTCCGCCCTAAATAAAGCGTGTTGTGCTGATTCCAGGAAGAGGCAGCCATTGTATTCATTGCTAACCAAGGAATCGAGGGAAGAATTTTAATCCGTGGTGTTTTTTCATGGCTTGGAAAGCGGAGCTGTGTTATTCATCGCAGTGGTCATTGGCTCTATAGTTGGTGGGTGGTTTGTGTGTGCAGAGCACCGGGGTGGAAGTGTAAAACACACCACAGAATTGTGTGAGATAATCAGACGATATGGCTTCCATCTTCTGTGCACATCTAGAGAAGTAGCCTTGCTGAACACTGGCTAAAGAGAAATCATGGCAAAGGTTGAATCTGTTTTGGAAATGTTCTAAAAAGCAGACTGTTAACACAGTGAGCCATTTTAAATGTAGCTTGTTACATGTTTGGAGAGAAACACATACTCTTTTTATTAGGAACATAAAACAAACTCTGAGTCGCAGTACCACTGTGTGTGAATTTAATTGCTGGGATTAATAAATCACAGCTGCAAAAGTTCCTTTCTTGCCAGAATTCTTTATTCAGCTATTTTTCCCTTGGCCCATTACATTCCAGATTTATGGTCTGCATTATGCCTGGAGCCAGCAGCAGGCTTGCTCTTTTCTTCCTTGGCTATTACGCTGCTGCCACTGCTCTGGAAGGCGTCGCCGGCAAGGACTGCGGGGCTGATCATCACCGATACTATGTGGCTGCTGTGTATGAGCACCAGTCCATCCTGAGTCCAGACCCCCTGGAGCTCACTAGCCGCCAGCAGGCCTTGGAGCTTATGAACCAGAACCTGGACATCTATGAACAGCAAGTGCTGACCGCAGCCCAGAAGGCAAGATTTGCTCCTCTGTTAAGACCTGAGCTTAGCTCCTAGAATGGAGCGCATTGCTCTTTGACTTGTTAGCAGTGGGTGGGAGCCCCCTGCCCCTTCCTACAGCCCCTCTGGAAAACCAGTCCAGCTAAGAAAGCTGCCTTGGCTGGTCAGTCTTGCTACTCCAGACCAGCAACATCTCTGAGCCCATGACCCATGAGAGAGGCAGAATCTCAGTCCTACTCCAGACCCACTGGCCAGATCTTGAGTTTAGCAGCATTCCCCGCTCCTCCAAGCCACTCTTTTTGTTTTCATTTTTGTTGTTGTGGTTGTTGTTGTTTGGTCATGGGCCTGGGCACTGTCCTTTACCTCTTCTGCTCAAGGCGAGCGCTCTACCACTTGAGCCACAGCACCACTTCCTGTTTTCTGGTGGTTAATTGGAGATAAGGGTCTCACAGACTTTCCTGTCCGGGCTGGCTTTGAACCACAATCCTCAGATCTCAGCCTCTTGAGTAGCTAGGATGACAGGTGTGAGTCACCGGCGCCCGGCAGCCACCAGTTCTTGATGTGGCTTTGGGCCAGTTACTGTGCAAGTAGTAAACAAGTGTGGGTGCCAGGTCCCCAGGAATCTGCTGTAATTGGCCCAGATGAGCAGGAGTCTGAGCATTGGGTTTTCAAAGGCTCCCCAGGGAAAGTTTGATGTGCAGAAAAACTTGAAAACTACAGAGCATGATAAACTCATGCTTCATGCAGCCTTTAGAGCTTAACAAAAATAGTATGTGTCCACAGAACTGTTGATTGCTGCCTGTAGATACTTGGGGTCTGTGCCAGCCCTGAGCCAGACAGAGCCCCGCCCAAGCCACAGTGGTAAGGGCACACCTCTACTTGCCTTGCTACCAGGAGGGGGAGGGATAGAGATGAGGTTCCCATGGGGGCAGAAGGGCAGTGTCCATACCCTGTTGGGGAACCTTTACCTGAAGGGCAGTTTGGGCTTTAACCCCAATGGGGGCAACCCAGCCCAGCTTTTGAAGAAGCCCTGCCCTACGTTGGTGTGTACAAACCATCTGTGCTGCCAATATCTTGAAGCAGGGTGCCCAGGATGGCCTGGAAGGACATAGCTATCATTAGTGTGTGTGTGTGTGTGTGTGTGTGTGTGTGTGTGTGTGTGTGTGTGTGTGTGTGTGTGTGTGTGTGTGTGTGTGTGTGTGTTGGTCTTAAGCACTGTCCGCTCCACTTCTGGCTTTTTGGTGGTTAATTGGAGATAAGAGTCTCAGACTTGGGGCTGGGAAGGTGGCTCAGTGGTAGAGCGCTTGCCTTGCATTCATGAGGCCCTGGGTTTGATTCCTCAGCACCACAAAAGCAAAAAAAGCCAGAAGTGATGCTGTGGCTCAAGTGGTAGAGTGCTAGCCTTGAGCTGAAGAGCTGAGGGTGTTTCAGGCCCCATTACCAGCAAAAAAAAAAAAAAAAGAGTTTCAGACTTTCCTGCCTGGGCTGGCTTTGAACTATGAACCTCAGATCTCAGCCTCCTGAGTATCAAGGATTACAGGCGTGAGCCACTGGCACTGCCTGGCCTATTGGTATATTAACATTATAGGCTAGACTACACACACAATCAAGTGTTTGTGTAATATATGTATACACACATATATTTACATGCATATAAATATATATGTAAAATTACATGCGTAATTATATGTGTATATAATATGTATGTTACACTTATATAATATAGTATATGTCTAAAGTGTATAATGCTATACAGTATATATGTATATAGTATGTAATATACACAACATACATATAATGTACGAGTATATGCTACATATAGTATTATATACTCTATATTATGTAGTATACACTATAGTATATATTATATACTATGTAGTATCATATACTATGTTATATAGTATATATATTATAGTAAATGCTATGTATTATACACATAGATATTATACATAGTATATACTATATTATGTACATATATTATCAATTGTATTATTGATGCTGATATAAAGGAGCTTGAAGACCTGGTTCAGTACTTCTGAGGGATGACACTCTCTTTTGTTCCATTGTGGTTTCTCCATGAACACCTTCCGTAGCCCAGCACTGTTTCATAGGTGCACTCATCCTAGTGGTGGCAACTTCTGGAAGTCTTCCTTTCAGTGCACAGAAATCAGAAACCCCTAGTTCTGCCGGATCCCCTCACTATAGCATGTCACCTCCTGCACACTTGAGGACAGCTGCCATGGTTCCCAGCATCGATCCCCTCCGTCATTATCCTCAGTCCCTTCCATAGTTCCTGGGGAGATTTGCTTTGCAGCCTGCCGATAGGCCAGGCTATCCCAATGCAGTTGAGGCTGAAGGAGGTTCCTACCACTCTCATTCTGGACTCTGTCTTCAGGAAGCTGTGGCAGTGACAACTCATGGTGGACTTGTGAGGCCCCCACTGCCATTTGACACCCCCATCCCTATACCCTTTACACACACACACACACACACACACACACACACACACAGCCTCCTGTACTTCTGGAACAGATTGATGTAACCTGAGAGGCAGACCTCACATTTCTGCCATTGGATGTTGGATTTCATCTTTCCCCTGCTGGTCTATTTATGCATCTGTATATCTGTTCCCTAAACATCTTTCACACGTTTTGTTCACACCCGGCTTCTGTCTGTGCTGAAGTCAGTGTGAAAACCATCTCAGTGAGGCCTCAGCCTCCTGCCCACAGCAACCATTCAGGACAGGTTCGCCAGAGGCGTTGGCCTGCACACTGCCCCAGCACTGGCCTCTTGCTTCTTCAGCAGCCCAACACCATTTGGCAAGTGCCATGCAGAACCAATCCTGGCGACTGTCAACTCCTCAGCTTGCAGTTTGTGACCTGCCCCCAAAGGAAACATGTAACCCGGCCAGGGGCAGACACTATCCGTTCATGGTGCAGGCACAGGGAAGGGGCTGCTAGGTGGATTTGGGTGCTCACTGATAACCCAGCTCCCTACAGGGTTATGTCTGCATGTGGCAAAGCAACTATGAACAATTACGTCAAGCAAGTGTCCAAGTTTTTGCTCAGACTTGCCTGGAATAGTTGGAGATTTCTCTTTAGGTAGAAGCCCTCATAGGAGGAAAGGAAGTCCAGTGTAAAGGTGATTAGGCAGCAGTACTCGGGTTAGCGACCTTCATTTCCAGAAGCAGTTCTTAATCTCATTAAAATCTCTAAGTGATGGTTTCAAAGATTTGTGAACTGCAGGACACTGGTGGGTCATGCCTGTAATCCTACCTACTCAGGAGGCTGAGATCTGAGGATCATGGTTCAAAGCCAGCCCAGGCAGGAAAGTCTTTGAGAACCTTATCTCCAATTAACCACCAGAAAACAGGAAGTGGTGCTGTGGCTCAAGTGGTAGAGTGCTTATCTTCAGCTGAAGAGTTTTTGGACAGCACCCAGGCCCAGAGTTCAAGCCCCACTACTGACATCCCTCCTCCCCCCCACACACAAAAAACCCCCAGATTTGTGAACAGTGTTTATTCAATAAATCTTCTGTGTGGACTATATAGACATGCTCACTACAGTTTTTTTCTTATTACAGAAAGAAAGTTGTAAACAATTAAAATATCCATTAATAGAGGAGACCCTATGGTATCTTCTTAAATATAATCTGGTCATCACTAGTTACTTTTTTTGGTGGCAGTATTGGGGCTGAACTCAGGGTAATCATACTTACTAGGTAGGCATTATACCACTGAGCCATGCCTTTAGGCCCTTCCCCACCCCCACCCCCATTTTGAGATGGGGGTTTCACTTATTGCCTGCACTGGACAGTGAACCTCCTATTTATGCTTTCCACAAATAGAAATCAAAAAAGAATTTTCGTTGTACTCTAGAAATAAGTGTCTGCTATTTTGGGTTCTCACACCCTCTGCTGCTGCTTCTCCACCCTGAGCATTGGGGTCAGCGTTTTAGACTTGCCATAGAATCTGTATAAGTAGAGCTCAATGGGAGAATGAGGCTCTGGCGTTGAGCACTGCTCTGTCTGGTTATTGGTTTTTTGTTGTTGCTGCCAATGTCACAGAGGCCCAGGATATTCGCAAGTATGTGAAAAAGGCTTGTGGGTTGTCCAGTCCAGAAGGGAGCCTCTTGTTCCCAGTTGTGGAGTTGAGAGCTCAAGGAAGTCCTGGTTTCCATGCTGAAACCACATCCTCACCTTGTACCTCTCCCAGTGGGTCCCAATCATGGCTGGGGATTAGAATCACTTGGGGGAACTTTAAACACAGTTGCCAGGAAACCTCTCCCTGCCACCCCTTGAGCCAATTGAGTCAGACTTCAGGGCATGCTCCAGCATCGGTGTTCTCAGCAGCTTTCAGAATGAAGGCTGAGAAGCACTAGAGATGCCATCTCTGTTAAGGGGTGTAATATCCAGGCTCTCTAGATCACCTGACCAAGTCCATCTCCCAATGTATCACCAAGAACGCCAGCCCCTCCTAACTGCTCATCTGGTTAACTGTGCCCCTCACCCATCTACTCACTCCCATCTTCCCTGACCTGCCCTCAACACAAGGAATGGTATTCCTAAAGGACTTTTGTCATTGTGCCCCGTGGATCAGACTAAGCCAGACAGCTTCTGAAGGAAGTTGCTGAGACCTGAGCCTTGTAGCCTGGCTCCCAGTACAGAGTAGCTTGTTGGTGCTTCCCTTTTCTGATAACTAACAGACTGCACTTTGGTGTTTGGCTTTACAGGGTGTGCAGATTATAGTGTTTCCAGAAGATGGCATTCATGGGTTCAACTTTACAAGAACATCTATTTTCCCATTTTTGGACTTCATGCCATCTCCCCAGCTGGTCAGGTGGAACCCGTGCCTGGAGCCCCACCGTTTTGCTGACACGGAGGTATGTGAAGATCTCAGCCTTCCTGCTTAGGAGGCTGAGGGTGTGCAGAGTTGAGCCACGCATTCCACAGCATGCTGAGATCCAAAGGAGACAAGCCTGTCATAGGATCAGCAAAGTCCAACCCTACTTCCTCCATTCCATTAAGAATGTCTGCCTTTGAGAGGCGTGCATTCCTCTGTGGATCTTCTACTGATTATGAAAGAAGCATATGAACAGAAAATCATATACATGCTAAACAAAAGGGGGGAAGATCTACAAGTTCACCACCACAACCCATCCTTCATCTTCCTTTTTTTCCCTAGAGAAACTTTGCTCAGTCATGTGCTCCACATCCAGCTCTATCACTTTCTGTGTGCTCTTTGTGTACATTATTGATGTCCTTTCTAACATGTGTTCTGATTATAACTTGCTACGGCAAGCAATTTGTGTATGTGTGTGTGCGCGCACTCATACAGGTGCATGCGCCAATGCTGGGACTTGAATTCAGGGCTTGGGTGCTGTCCTTGCGCTTTTTTTTTGGGGGGGGGTCCAGTCATGGGGCCTGAACTCTGGGCCTGGGCGCTGTCCCTCAGCTCTTCAGCTCAAGGCTAGTGCTCTACCACTTGAGCCATAGCGCCACTTCTGGCTTTTTTCTTTTTGCTTATGTGGTGCTGGGAAATCTAACCCAGGGCCTCAGGCATGCAAGGCAAGCACTCTACCACTGAGCCATCTTCCCAGCCCCTGTCCTTGCACTTTTATGCTCAAGCTTAGTGCTCTAACACTCAAGCCACAGCTCCATTTCTGGCATTTTGGTGGTTAATTGGAAATAGGAGTAGCTCAAACTTTCCTTTCTGGGCTGGCTTCGAACCTTGATCTTCAGATCTCAGCTTCTTGAATAGCTAGGATTACAGGTGTGAGCTGCTAGTGCCTTGTTAAATTTTAAGTTATTTTATAGATTACCAGGACTGGGAATGTGGCTTAGGGGTAGACAGCTTGTCTTGTATGCATGAAACCCTGGGTTCTATTCCTCACTACCACATAAACAGAAAAAGCTGGAAGTGGCACTGTAGCTCAAAGTGGTAGAGTGTTAGCCTTGAGCAAAATAAGCTCAGCACCAGTGCCCAGGTCCTGAGTTCAAGCCCCATGACTGGCAAAAATAAAATATAAAGATCACCAAACTTCTGCATTAAAAGATTTCATGTCTCCAACTAGTCTGAGTACCTGTTTTCCTAACCTTTGTCAATGCAAGATATGCAATTGAATTTTTGCCATTGTAACGAAGATGTCTCATAAGTTCGCATATATGTATTACTAATGAGACTGAGCATCTTTAGGTGTTTGCTGGCTATTTGTATTTGTTCTCCTGTGGGTCACCTGTTCATATTTTTTGCATGTTTTCATTAGTTTTTTATTTTTACCTTATTTATGATAACTATTTTCTATGTTAAAGACACAATATGGGGAATTTTTCTACAAAAATATGAGATAAAAGAGGATTTTTAAAATACGTGATTTAAAAATAACACGTTTTTATACTTTTTACTTACTTTTCGTTCTACTCTAGGTCCTCCAGCGTTTGAGTTGCATGGCCATCAAGGGAGAGATGTTCTTGGTGGCCAATCTAGGCACGAAACAGCCTTGTCTCAGCAGTGACCCAAGGTGCCCCCATGACGGGTACTACCAGTTTAACACAAATGTGGTGTTCAGTAGTAACGGCACCCTTGTTGACCGTTATCGCAAACACAACCTCTACTTTGAGGCAGCTTTTGATACCCCTCTTCAAGTGGATCACATCACCTTCGATACCCCCTTTGCTGGCAAGTTTGGCGTCTTCACTTGCTTTGACATCTTGTTCTTTGACCCTGCTGTCACACTCATCAGAGACTTGGAAGTAAAGCACATTGTGTACCCGACCGCCTGGATGAACCAGCTCCCGCTTTTGGCAGCCATTGAAATTCAGAAAGGTTTTGCCATGGCCTTTGGCGTCAATGTTTTGGCAGCTAACATCCATCACCCATCTCTGGGGATGACAGGAAGTGGCATACATACCCCTCTAAAGTCCTTTTGGTACCACAACATGGTAAGCCCCAAAGGTCAGCTTATAATTTCCCAGCTACCCCAAAATCCGTCATGTCTTGTTGGGACAGAGAAGGCAAAAGATAAAATGGACTCATTCCACAGTAAGTTTTTAAAAATGGTGTCAAGTGACCCGTATTGTGAGAAGGATGCACAGGAAGTCCATTGTGAGGAAGCTTCAAAGTGGAACACGAACGGGCCTCCCCCGTTCCACTCAGAGATGATGTACGACAATTTCACACTGGTCCCTGTGGAGGGAAAGGAAGGCCATCTCCGAGTCTGTTCCAACAACCTCTGCTGCTACTTACTCTATGAGAGGCCTGTCGTGTCCCAAGAGCTGTATGCCCTGGGGGTCTTCAGTGGCCTCCACACAGTGCACGGCACGTACTCCATTCAGGTCTGCGCCCTGGTCAAGTGTGGAGGACTTGGCTTCGACACGTGTGGCCAGGAGATCACAGAGGCAACGGGGCTATTTGACTTTTACCTGTGGGGGAACTTCAGCACTTCCTATATCTTCCCTTTGTTTCTGACCTCAGGGATGACCCTGCAGACCCCTGACCAGCTGGGCTGGGAGAATGAGCACTATTTCCTTAGGAAGACTGGACTGTCATCCGGTCTGGTAACTGCAGCTCTCTATGGGCGGTTGTATGAGAGGACCTAGGCCCAGAGTGAGGCCTGGGGGTAGATGCTGGTCATTGTGTGGACAACCCCGCCCTTTCACAGAGGACCACTGGGCCTGGAGGGGGGGAAGCCCACTCCTGGGGCATACCACATGGTTCCCTGAGGACTGCAGGAAGCCACGGAAGAGGCAGGTTCCCTCTTCCTCTTCAGTGTCAATGACAGATGTTTTCTGGTATTTTCTGTTCCATTTGTCTTTTTCAAGCCACTTCTGGCAAATCTTTTAAGTACACAATTGGTTTAAAATAAATATGTCAGTTGATACTTTACACATTCACAAGGCAGTGGTTTGGTTTGTTCTTCATTGTTCAATCAGTGATATCCAGGATGTGTAAATATTTTGCAAGCCTCAAGTATTTTCTTTTTTGTTGTTGTTGTTTATTTTCCGGCTTGAACTCGGGGCCTGGACACTGTCCCTGAGCTTTTTGCTTATGGCTAGTGCTCTACTACTTGGAGCCACAGTTCCACTTCCAGTTTTCTCGTAGTTAATTAGAGTTAAAGATCTCATAGGTTTTCTTACCCAGGCTAGCTTCGAACCATGATCCTTAGATCTCAGCTTCCTGAGTAGCTAGGATTACAGGCATGAGCCACTGGTGCCCAGCTTACCTCATATATTTTTTTTCTTTTCTTTTTTCTTTCTTTTCTTGCTTGCTTGCTTCTTTTTTTGCCAGTCCTGGGGCCTGACATTAGGGGCTGGGCACTGCCCTTGAGCTTCTTTTGCTCTAGGCTAGCCCTCTACCATTTGAGCCACAGTGCCACTTCCCGCTTTTTCTGTTTATGTGGTACTGAGGAATCAAACCCAGTGCTTCATGCATGCGAGGTAAGCACTCCACCACTAAGCCACATTCCCAGCCCACCTCATACATTTTCTAAGAAACAAATTCTCAAAGCAAAAGCTGTGCTGTGTTCCATCTGGCCCATGAAAACTCTGCAGTGAGCATAGCAACACCAGAGCCACCTGCAAAATAGAAACAACAGACCTGGAAACACCCTTTTAAAAATAGAAAGGTTTTGCTCACATCTGCCTGTCGGTCTGTGGAATGTGTGGGCAGGACTTGGAATAAGTGGGAAAAGAGAAGGCTATGCTCTGAGGTGGAGATTGTTGGACAGAGAGAGGGGCAGCTAAAGAGGGGTAATACAATTCTTTCATCCAGGGATTCCAGGAACCTTAGTAAGTCACACTAACTTTGGACAAGTTGCCCAACTGTGCAGGATGGAGTAACACAGGCATAATTCAGTTTGCAGGAGCACTGAGCAGCGATCCTGTTGCAAGGAGGCCCTGCAAGTCTAGAGACAAGTTGCAAGAGCTGCCATGGAGGGCACACTTTGGTCATGCATTCCTGAAATTCCTGAGCAGTTGTTTTCTGAGTGCTCGGGAAAATACAGAACAGAGGCTTTCCACAAGATGATTCCAAATGCCATGTCATAATGAGTATGAAGACATTTTTAGGCCATGGATTTCTATATAAATTGTATCTAGTGTTATAATGGCATTAAAATTAATTTTAAGCTTATGCTTAATAACTTGTAGATACTTTTATTTTTAGTTTTTTTTTTGCCAGTCCTGGAGCTTGAACTCAGGGCCTAGCCTAGATATATTTTTTTTTTGGGGGGGGGTCTGGTTGTGGGGCCTGAACTCTGAGCCTGAGCGCTGTCCCTCAGCTCTTCAGCTCAAGGTTAGCACTCTACCACTTGAGCCACAGTGCCACTTCCGGCTTTTTTCTTTTTGCTTATGTGGTGCTGGGGAATCGAACCCAGAGCCTCAGGCATGCAAGGCAAGTGCTCTACCACTGAGCCACCTTCCCAGCCCCTGACCTAGATATTTTTTAAAGCACAGAATAGCCAGTCTGTGATTTGCCTCTTAGGTGTTTTATTTAGTTTTAACTCCTTTTTCTTTTAAATGTTATTTTATTGTAAAGATGCTGTACAGAGGGGACGGGTTAACTCCTTTTTAAAATTAGTTTTTCAGAACAGTACATTGCTAAACCCCACTTTCTCCTCAGACTAGTATGAACTTCTCTCCTCATTTCCTGGCAGCATAGCTTTCCAGACCCTCCTTTTTCTGGGATAATTAAAAGAGCCTGGATTCTGGAGCCAGAATGACAGGGTACAAGCACAGCTTCAAAGTTCCTTCTGCACTGAGTAGGCCTTGCTAGTGGATTTCAACCTTCCGTGCTCCATTCCCCCCTCTGGGGCATACATGTGGACTGTGCCAAGAGGGAAAGAAGCAAAGCTTCACAGCCTCCTGACTCACGGCTCCCGCACAGAGGCCTGGGATGAGTCACATCTCCAGGAAATACGTAGGAGCCCCTCAGAATCCCACAGGAAGCCTTGGGATTCCAGCGCCCTGGGAAGTCCCCCTGGAACGGGAGCAGGACCTCTCCCACCAGATGAGTCCCTCCAGAAGTGGGCTGGCAGGCTGGGTGTGGCTCCAGATGTGGCTGTCCACAGCCCATCCTGCTTCCCTGCCCAGACTCCAGAGACATAGAAAGCATCTTAAAACAGCATACCATTGCGGATGCCAAGATGACTCAAATTAGTCTGAGAAACAGAAAACCCAGTTCTAAATCCAGACATGGTGGAACTACTTCACCCAACATGCAAGTCAGCGCCTTCTGGGCCCACACTCTGCCTGCCAGGCAGAGCCCATGAACTTTTCTGAGTTACTTCTTACTGAGAATTAGAATGAATCGTTCCTGATGCAAAAATAAAGGGAAAAGCGAACAATGGTGCTAAAACAAAGTGACATTTACAGCTAAGAGTAGTTGCCAGATAGCAGAAGAAAATAAAGGGTGGAAAAATGAATAAAAATTATTTTTAGGGAACAAAACAGAAGGATGAGTAATGATTGCAAGAGGCTTTTGAAAACTGTGATCTTGAAGTTCAGGAAACAAATGACAATCTTGCAATACCCCAAGGCAGGAAACCAAGAGTATTTCTGGTTGAGGTAGACTTGGGGGAAGCAGTGTGATCTATGTGGCTTCCCCACAAACAGCTGTGCCCAGCTGTGGCTTTTCTCACAAAGGAAGTTGGAGGCACAGTGAGAGATGGCAAAGATGTGTTTCTAGAGAAGGTAAAAAACTCCCTCTCCTCCCAAACAGTCCAGGCTCAGCACCTGCCAGCCCCCTAGATAGGTGGTATGCTCATAGCCCTGTGTGTGTGCGTGCATGCAATCACACATGCGGGTGTGCGCATGTACACCAGTATTGGAGCTTAAATTCAGGGTCACACACTCTTGCCTGGCCTTTTGTTTAAGTCTGGTGTTTTACTTGAGCCACACCTCCACTCTGACTTCTTGCTAGTTAACTGGAGATAAGTGTCTCTCACACAGTGTTGGCTGAGCTGGCTTTGAACTGTGATCTTCAGATCTCTGTTCAGATCTCTGAGTAGTTAACATTACAGGTGTGAGCCACTGGTGCCTGGCTCAATTGCCAAAAATTTTTACCAAGTATCAGGGCAAAAAAGAAAATGGTTCTTTGAATAATTTTCAGTATAATTTTTTCTCAGATATAGGGCTTGACCTCAGGGCCTGGGCACTGTCCCTGAGCTCTTTCTATTCAAGGTTAGTGCTCTATCACTTTAAGCCACAGTGCCACTTCCGGTTTTCTGGTGTGTAAATAGAGATAAGAGTCTTTTAGACTTTCTTGCCCGAGCTGGCTTCAAATAATCCTCAGATCTCAGCCTCCTGCATAGCTAAGATTACAGGTGTGGGCCACTAGCCCCCAACTCTTGCACCAATTTTTTGCACCAATTTTTAAAGATGTATTAGAAACATATCAAGTCGGGGCTAGTTGCTCATGCCTGTAATCCTAGCTACTCAGGAGGCTGAGATCTGAGGATCTCAGTTCCAAGCCAACCCAGGCAGGAATGTCTGTGAGACCCTTATCTCCAATTAACCACCAGAAAACCTGAAGGGATGCTGTGGCTCAAGTGGTAGAGCACTCGCCTTGAGCTGAAGAGCTCAGGAACAGCACCCAGGCCCAGCGTTCAAGACCCAAGACCAACCCTTCCCTCCCGCCCCCCCCCAAAAAAAATAAAACGACATAAAACCAGGAGAAAACAATAATCCCCTCAGTGCACATATAACAAGAAAGCATTTGTTTTCACAAAAATTCCCATTTTCAAAGATGGTTACAATCCAAATTTTCAGCAACGACTAAAAAGCACAAAGCAGGTTGTGTCCCCTGAATTGCAATAGCTCAACTGTGGCTTATGGGAGGCAAACTGTGCCAGGACTTTGACATAGGTGAGGAAAATTATTGAATTGAGGAACTATAAAGATGAAGATTATATTAGACGAAAGCCACTATTTTGGCCTTGTAAGTGCAGCTGCAAAAAGTAAAAAAGGTTTTTGTTCTTTTGTAATTAATACACTACCATGTGATCCTCCTGTTCTATAAACCTCTGAAAATTCCATGTCAGATCTTTCCAAGGAAAGGAATGTTGACCATGGAAAATGGATAAAGGCTATCACAATCCATATTTGTTTCTTCATAGTAACGTTTCAAAATAAATAAATAAATGAAATAATACACCCAGATTTTCAGGATGCTGCCCTGGGAGGCCTGGCTTCCTTATTTTGTGTGGTGCTGGGCACACGCATGCTCTGTCTCTCCATGGGGCCTAGGTCCCGTCTTTGGAAAAGGCAGTAAACCAGAAGATCCCAGCTCAAACAGCTTCAGATGTTCATTCTTTTCCCTGGGCTCTAATAGTAAATAAGGAGTAAACAGTGCGTCTACACAAGACTGAGAAGCTTATTATAGAGTACTTGGTAAAACAAACAAAAACAAAGACTCAATTTGTTATGTGAATCATCTCTCCCCAGGGCTGAAGGCTACCCACTCTCTCCCAACTCATTCATCTGTGTCATACATTTAGATTTTCATGATCAGTGTTGTGATTGTGGGACAGTTCAGGGTCCAGGTGTGTTGCTCATCTTCTTCCAGCTGGAGATGGCCTGGGCTGAGTCCCACACCTGGGCTTTTAGATTCTTTCAGGGTTCCTGTGGGACACTGGAAGAAGCGGAGGACCGTCAATTTCTTAAGGTGGCACAGTCCCTTTTCTGTCCTAGTCTGTCAGTAAAGATGCTACAGAACCCTCCTAGATTCAAGGGCAAGAGAAACAAGCCCCATCTGTCAGTGGGAGGAATGTGAAAGATCTGGCAGCTATTTTAAATCTACCTCAAAGCAAGCCGCGCTACCAGTATCGGATTTTATTTACTGAATTCTTACTGTTACTGCCAAGCACCATTAACTCATTTAATATTTCC